AGTCATAAAGACAGATGGGAAACATATCTGTGAAAGAAAAATACATAAAGAGCTCTCTCCCATTTTTAAGCAGTCATCCTCCCAGCCCCCAAGAAGCAATAAATTAGGGTAATGGGATTCTTTTTATAACTGAGTTGCTGATTGCTAATATCCCAAAAGTTTTCAGAATAAACTTCAAGTTAGACTGGAGCAATTATATGCATCTTTGCTAATGGTGAAGGCAACACAGTAGAGCTTCCTCTTGAAAGTTCAATGTGATTGTGGCAAACAGAAAAGATATTACAGATTCCTGTCTTTTCAACTCTAAACTCAAAATAAGCATACTTACACATGATATGACATTTAATTTAAAAACGTTACAGAATTCCAAAGGAGGAAGTGTGTCCATTTTCATCCATATAGGCTTACTAAGGTCTGATGCTAAGCAGGTGTACCCCAATGTCTTTGTAACTTCAGATAAGATGACCACCACCTCTGAACTAAAGCATAACTGATGCACTTCAACTTGTATTCACGTGACCTGCCACTGAAATGCAAAGGCCCGTGAAATCCATTTGATGTAAACAGAAGACTAGCAAAAAAGAAAATCCATGATGGAACAACAATAGTTCAAATACCACAGATTCAAATCCTCTGGGATTCCATCTTCTTCACAGTGAAGTTTGAATTCAACAATCATGCACTGAGTGACGAGCAAAGCACCATAAATGAGGTGAGATGCTGGGGAAGCGATGTGTATGATCTTTGGGAAGCCTGTATTCTTTCCAAGGACAGATTGAAGCCAATGGTTGGAAGACTATGGTACTGTGACATTAGAAGTAGTTGCACCCTCACAAATAAGAAAAATATCTCAAATGTGACATAGTAGGAAACTCACAAAATGAATACAAACAGCAGAAAAAGCCATTGTTTGCCTGTCAGATAAGAATATATTAAAAAATAGTAATATCCATTGCTGCTTGGAGGTGTGGGGAAATGGCCACACACTCTTGCTGGTACTGGGCTACATTTCTATAGAACAATGTGGAAGTCTGGTTATTTTAAATCCATTAAAACTACATATGCTTTGACCTAAAAATTCCACTTGTTTCCGTGAATAAATAGAGTGTAGTTTCACTAACCAATATATAAGAAATAAATTCAACGTCAGGAAAATGGTAACTTTGGTTTGGTAGGGTAATTCCAAATTCCTACCACATATTCAGGAGAAATGTCTATTAGGCAGTTGGACATACAATAACTAGCATTTACTCAGGATATATGCTAGTCTTGCATGTGTTATTTCATTAAATTCTTCTGAAACTCAAGGGGGTATGTATCCAGTGAGAGAAGCAGGGCTCAAACACAGCTCTTAACCCAAAGCTCTTAATGTTCTAGTCGGCCTCCATGGATTTAGCACTGGGAAGAAAGATCCGAAGTCAAAATACAGATTTGCAAGTTTATCTTCCTTTTATGCATTTATTTAGCAGAAATGTATTAGGTTCCTGATGTTGGACTTAAGGATACCAGGAAAATAAAGTTACATTTCCTATCCTTAGGGAACCATGCTTTCAGGAAGACAAAAACAAACAAACAAAAAGAACACTATGGTACAACAGTGCTAACAGAATTAGTTAAGAGGAGTAACACTAACCCCAAAAGGAGAGAGTAGTCAATTCCACATTGGAGGAGTCTTGGGGAAGGTTCTAAGAAAGGAAGACGATTCTTGACCATGATTTTTGAAGGAGGAGTTTTAAAATACAATCCTGGTGGACAGAGGAAGCGGGGCAGGAGGGCCACTCCGCAAAAAGGCAGCAGCCTACACAGAAGCCCGGATGCCCGAAGCAGCCCAGCCAGCGCAGAGAAGTGCACACCGATGAACAGACTGAACAGACGGTGCCCGTTCATCATTCCAGTCTCCACCCACCCCTCTGCTCTTCCAGATGCCGAACGACAAGACAAGGGAGATTGAAGGTTTCCTGCTCTCCTGAGTGTCATTTTTCAAAGACAAGACCTACTCCTCCAACCTCCTCTCCAAAGGGGGAGTTGCAGAGGGGGAGGGCAGCGTGCCTTGCCAGTCAGTGGGAGCAGTGACACAGTGGCCTCCCTGATGGAAGCAGCTCCCTAATGGCGTCACCATGGACCACCTTATCCAGCCTTTTGTTTTCTTGGTTACATTTCTTACTACTGAAATTATATTGTCTATTCCTTTCCTTGTTTGTTGCCTGTCTCCCTCATTAGAATGCGAGCTCCAGGAGATAACAGGCTTAGTCCGTTTCGTTCAACACTGATCCACGGCAGCCCTGGCACAAGGGAGATGCTTTGCAAATACCTGCTGAATGAATGACTATTGCTTTAGCTTACCCAACACATGGCCTATGATTTTGAAAATTCAAACAATTCAAGATAACATTTCACTTCTCTATGAGACTCAATATTTTATTCCATATCTAACAGTATTTGCATGTTCCCAAAGAAATTTTCTAATGCTCTAAAGAGCAACCCTAAGCCCCCAGTGTTTTTCACTGCAGAAAATGTCTAAAACAAAACATGTCTCCAAAATTAGCACCTAAAAAGTTTAACTCTGCTCTATTTCCACCCAGGTATTTCATTACACTATCCTTGTAGCAAAGAGAACAAGCCAGCAATTCTGGATAAAGTGTTACACCGACTACAAATGGATGTTTTGTTTCAGTGAAACACGCATAAGGAAAAATGGAAGGAAACCATTCCATGATGAAGGAAAAAGTCCAAGTCCTGCTAATGAAACAAAAAATATCTAAGGTAGAAAGAAAAGCATGGCTAATGTTATTAGAAACCAGATAACATGTATCTGTGAAAAGGTCACCAGTTTTCAGACGTCAGTGTCACTGATGATGACTAAGGCACAGAGATCACGTGCCTTAACTGCATGTCACAAAAAACGTCTGGGAAGGTAACATCTTTCGGGATGTCATTTCCCCAACTGACCACTTCACTTCAGGGTTCCTTGAGCCGCCTGTCACTACTTTCAGAATCACAGGTTTCAGCTCCTTATCTCACAGATGGGGTGGTCTTTCTCCAGCACTCTAGGCCTGAGAAAGCTAGAGGGAACCAGCACAAGCTGAGCAATGCCGTTCCTAGCCTGATTAACGGTTTTGACACAAATAAGCCAGGGTTCAAGAGGCAACCTTCACAAGTCCAAATATTGTAATATATATATATATATAGATAGATAGATAGATAGATAGATAGATATATAATGATATATCTATCTATCTATCTATCTATATATATATATACAGTTATTATGAATCTATTTCAAGACTAATAAAGGTTCAAATGAGACCTACATGCTGCCTTGCCATTTCTCAATATAAATGCCATGTAAAATGACACAATGAATCCACTCTCTTTTTATGTGGGAGTTACAAAGAGAAGCCTTTACACTTCTTTAGGGATAATTTATTTTCTGAAGCCAAGTGTTAACACCAATAAATGGAGGATTTGCATGTAATCCCTAAACGCAGACAGGCAGAAATCACCAACCACGCTATCTATGACTTTTTAAGGAGGCATTTTATTTAATCACACTTGTATAACTGGGCAATCTAAAGGGTGCAACTTTTAAAAATAAGATATAAGATATTGCCCCTGATATTTTTAAAGCAAAGTTTCCAGGATTACATATTCAAGTAAATGTTTTGCGTTTTTTAGTGTCTTTTTTTCCAGAGTAGTCACTAGAATTGACTAAACACCTGTTTATCAATACTGCCACTTCTTGAAAGGATTTTGTACCACATATCTGAGAACTTTTTCAAAGTTGGCTTATAAGCTACATCCTTTATATGTACAATGGACACTGTACACAAGAAAACACCCATCTACTCATGGGCTAAGCACAGCACGACGAACAGGCTGTGAATGGTGAGATTCTTTTGGTTTGTGTCCACTGCTCGCCGGTGGCCCAGCGACCCAGACCGCATCCTCCATCCTGGATGCCATCAGCCTGTGGTCAGTGAGATCTATTTCTCTGATAAGTTTTCTTTAGAAACAACAAACCAGAACTTAAAGACAGAATATATATTATTGCAAATCGTTACAGCCAGTCTGTGGTGATCTGCACTGCCACATTACCAACACCATAAACTATGAAAAGTGTATATGCCCTTCAGAAAAATGGATCTCTCTGTCTGGTCATTATACTCTAAAAATAAAACATTCTTTCATACAAACAAAATGAAGGTGACAATATACAAGGTCTCAGCTGATCAAAGCAAAAGGAAAGACCGTAAGATCCATAAGGAAATGCATCTCATAATTAACAGTTAATGTTTGTGATAAATTTTAATCAAGTAAAATTAATAGGACCACTTAAGAAAAATGAAGGAGCAGAAAACAAAAAACTGTGTATGAGTCAGAGGCTCAACTGTTCTAAACCTGCTTTCAGCAGTCAGGAATATTCCGGTCTGCCAGGTACTAAGCCAGATGGCTGGTGTCGCGTATCTGCCTCCTACATCGTCGTGTTCCACCTTGACCGGTAAATCAGGAGGACGCTGTTTACAGATCAGTCTGTGCTTTTAGGCTCGGCACAGTTCGGCTACCTCTCAATGTGGCCCTTTTAATTTTTTATTCTACAACTCGTGAGAGATGAGCAGAAATAAGAAAAATAATACCCTTCATAAGCCAAACATAAATAAGCACTAATAACATTTTGACGTATTAAAATGGTCACTTCTAAAGCTTTTTCCTTTAAGACATCCCCCTTGATTTTTCTGCCTCTTCCTTCTACTTACTGCCCTCCTAAACACTTCCATACCGAATTACCCCGATAACCACGGTGCCGCCACCACAGACACTCCTCTCTGAAGGATCCGAGCACGGTGGTATTCTTGAACAGAATCCCTTGAGCACCCTGGTGAGCAGTACTCCACCCCACTTGGCCTGCACAGGGAGGCCAGCCCACCGCTCCTGGCTTGAGTGAGGGGATTGCCATGGAAACCGTTTCCACTGGGCCATGCCTCCTGCAAATCATCACTTACTGTGCCCGGCATATGACTTCTCTCGCTCTTCCCATTCTGAGAGCTGCCATTCCTGAGTTTCTTTTTTTTTTTGGCGGTTTCTTTGTGCTCTTTCTGTTTGTTTTGCACTTCAATGAGAATAGAAATAAAGCTGTTTTTCACTTCCTTTTCAAACTCTAGTTCATCTCGCAAAGCCAACTGCTGCACCAGCTCTTCAGAGTATTCCTTAATGGCAGTCTCGATTTCTTCCAGGAGTTCATTTAATTCAGATACTGAGAGCCTTTTTACTCCTGTGACCGAAAGCAAAGCACAGCAGACACTAAGACAAACATGTTTCAAGGGAGGATAAGAGGGTGTTTCATGCTACAGAGCAAAACCATATTCTAGGCAATTAACTTGTTTGTGATCTCAGAATCCTAAAACTTCTGGTGGGCAGGTCTAGTGGGGCTGGGTGGGCACAGGTACTTCTCAAACGGCTGAGAGGGGAAGTATAACAATTTTTTTATTTGTCTAAAGCAATCATCCCATAAACTATACTTCAGTCAAGACTTTAAAAATTACACAAAGGAAAACCCAAACACGGGGAAGAGCAGACAGTACAGCAACCACCTGCGGACGAGAAACCACACGCAGTGTAACAGAGTTCTGGCGCACATCTGGAGAGAGAAGTCCCCTCGAAAGAACTAAACTAAATGCATGTTTAATCACAGAGCCCGAAGCGTGAGTTTTAAGGCTGTGAGGATGAACGGGAAGAATATGCACTGAAACCCCAGTTCAGTTTTTCTCACCATTCCCTCAGGTGAGAGGCCAGACGTCGCCAAATTCCTCTTCCCTGTACCTCAGAAAGCGACTGTTTTGGAGGAGGGTCTTCAAAGACAGAACTGAGTTAAAATGGGGTCAGGAGGGTGGGCCCTGACCCAACGTGACCGGTGGCCCTTACAGAATGAGATCAGGGCCCAGACGCACACAGAGGACAGTCCACATGAGGACAGAGAGAAGACGGCCTTCTGCGAGCCAAGGAGAGAGGCCTCAGAAGAAACCAGCCCTGCTGAACCCTTGACCCCAGACTTCCAGCCTCCAGAACTGTGAGGGGACAAATGTCTCTTGTTTAAGGCGCCCAGCCGGTGGCACTTGGTTGCAGCAGCCCGAGCTGACTAACACAGGATTCAGGGGTGAATGTGACACCGTCCCTGATCAAAACATGTCCCAAGTGTTACTGGACGGTGGGGAAGGGCATTCCACCCAGCCAGTGAGGATCCAAGACTTCTGGTGACAGGCACACTGTTATGTTTAAAATATACAAAAAAAGCACAAAGAGCACTGATTTAAGTAAGATTTCTTACTCTCTTCATAACTGCTTGTACTAGACCTCTTAAGAGTTTGAATTTCCTGGGAAAGCATCGAAAGCCGATCTGACTGTGTGGGCGTTTCATCATCATCCGGGTCAGGTGATTCCTGCATCATTTCTTCAATTTCTTCAATGACCTTCCAAAACATACACACCACTGTTAATCACATGCACGTGGAAAATGGCCTGTCTGGGACACGGCACTCACGAGGCAGCCAGAGCAGAAGCACACCGGATTCTCCATTAATCAACAGTGTGCGGAGCGCATGCTCTGAATGATCAAATCTCGACTGCAAGAGGAAACACAGTTTATCCAAAAGAATTTACAACATACTAAATACAAACTTAAATAGATATGATTCAATCTGGCCATCGTGATTCAGCAGTCCCTATCAGATCTTGCAACTCTGAAAAACGGTGCTATAAACACACATGTAATCTACTTCACATATGTCAGAACCAGACCATAGTTACAGTTACACAGAAGTAAAGGACAGAAAATTTATACCCAAGCAAGTGCTCAGTGTGAAGCCATTTAGTCAAACTGACATAAAATTTAGAAAACACGATAATACAAAAAGTCACATATAAAGCAAGAAATTACCTCAATGGCAGCAAAATTCTCTTTGAACAGCAGAAAAATTTTCATATATTAATTCAATGGAAGATGAAGGGCTATTCAAAAATTACTCAAAATATGGAAGCTTAAAAAAAGCTGCACAAAAGCAGGAAAATTTCAGAAATGTATCTGCCTTCATTTACACAATGATCTACTGTCATATGCAATGTTGCTCAAGTTTTACAATAGCATCTTGTCCTGGTCCAGATTTCGAAAGTTGAGAAGGATATAGACCTCAGAGAAAATTTAAGGCAAACCAGAAAAATTTCAGTAGTTAAAAAAAAACAGACCTTAGTTAAAAAAAAACTGTTAGAAAAAATACAATGTGAAAATGTGAATCAGCAAGCGTAACATGTAACACTTAAAATGAGGAGAAACAAAAGTAAACCTGAAGGAGGTGGGAATTATGTCAACTAGTAATAAGATTTTCCAAAACTAGGCACTAAAGAACAGTAAAATGAGGCACCTGATACAGGCCACACAATTGTATCTCTAAGTCTTAAAAGCAGGGATAGCTCATGGCATTCAGGCCATTTACTGAGGAGACAATGATTTCTCAGGGTCACACATTTCCCTGGAACATCTCGCTCACCCCCACTCAGCCTTCTAAGCTCTTATCCTGCTTTGTAAGCACCTCGCTCCCCCCAGGCCTAGAACAATCTAACTTCAAGTATAACTAAGGAGCATCAAAATGACACATTTCAAAATGTACCCCTCCCAACCTGACCACAACATATCTCTTTACTGACCTTGTTTTCCAGCCTAAAAATACAGTGTGGCAGACGTCACAGGCCAAGCAGCCGTGAACGTTTTATTTCAGGAAGCAGTTGTTGCATCACATTTGGACAACACAGCAGAAGTGGGAAGAGCATTCAGAAAATGAGAAAGCTGACTCAACTGGCTTTGCATGAACACAGGGTTGGCATTATCAGAGCATTCCACAGGAATAATGCTCACTTCTTCCTACAGTGCACAGTATGTACATCCAATAAGCACTAATGATTTTTGCATAGGTTTGAGAGAAACTGGGTAATTTCTACACAAACATAGTACAGAGGGCCCATGTCTGGCTAAATCTAAAGAAATAATAAAAATCACAATGTTTTTTCTGACTTCCCTGTAAGTAACACTCCCTAAGTACCTGGCTGTACTGTTCTAACAATGCTGATCATGGACACTGTCTATACCGGAAAATCTGTCCAGCTAGCACAATCCCACCTGCTTCAGGTGACATCCTTTCTTCCCCTCTCCGTGCAGGAGCCGACTGGGGAGCCTACATAAGCAGGAAGTACTGAAAAGACAAGTGAACTCCCACAATCCACCACTTGTTGCCACAGTAAGAAATCCTTTTGCAGCCAAGTTCCCTTTTCCTTCAGTTCATGAGTTTCTCCCTTGTACCTGATCTGCAGTGAAGAGGGGCTCCTCATTCACACAGGAGACGATGATTGAATGCATGTCCAGCTGTTCTCTCAACTCCTCCTCGTCTGATGTATCAAAGAGCAAGCTGTCACTTACCTAAAAACAAAATAACCCGCTATTACAAGCAGAACCTTCTGATCGCAGTAAAGTCAAAGTGTCTTTGGGGAAAGCATTGGCTGAGCACTCTCCTCCAGAGAGAGAGGTTATCACAGTTGCTCTGTAAAGCACTTTACGTAGTCCCCTCCAACAGAAACGAGAGGAATGCACAGGGTCTGGCATAAATAATGTCCCTTTCTAATACGTTGGTAATTTATACCAAATCTTTTACCATCAGCATGTAATTCTGCAACATAACAATATCACACTCAAGCACACCATATGACATTTTAGCTGAAATGTTCAAATTGCTGTCCATCTCATGTGAGACAGTCACATACCCTGCCAACTAGACTCAATGGCATTACCTCTGCCGGACGCGGCAGAATAAATACGACACTGCTAAGGGGCTGCAAGCATCTCCTACAGATACACACTTAGCTGTTTTCTCCACGGGAAGGGTGCTAAGAAGCTGACTGGTAAGTACGAAAATACAGGGGTAGGGTGTTTGTTAGGAAGTTGCAGGGAATTATAGCAAATGGGGAGAGAGGTAATGGGCAGAGTAGGCGGCAAATGTTATGTAGTTAATAATCTAATACTAAGACTGGTATATACTAACATTCCACAGAAAACATAATGTTAGTTATTTGCAAACTAACTTCTAACAGTTGGAGTAAAATAGACGTAATGACCTCCCTGGCAGACAGGAACATGAGGGTCACACTTAGCCCTTTCAGTGGAACATTTCTCTCAAAAAATAGTCTCTCTGTGTTGCAAAATATGTTCAAACCTAATTGTGTTGCAGATTTTCCAGAGCTCCATTTTCCACACTGCTCTGTGCCCCAGGAGGCTGACCTTTATGGACGACATCAGAGGATGCCCTGACTTCCGGCTTCCAGCTGGGTTCAACACCGCTGGTAGACACTGGCAGGAGGCTGGAAGGGGGGAAGGTGAGGGCTGGGCATGTATTCTGCCGCCTCCCTTGCTGCCAAGACTGCCAAAGGCTGCAGCTGCTGGCGAGCAGCCCTCTCCCCTACAGCTGCTCTCACTGGGTTCTGGTGACTTCTTCCCTCCTTTCACTCTTTATGTCAAGTGGCACTAGTGCTGCTTGCTACTGCCAGCCCCAGGGTATCACACCAGGCCTCAGTGGTGTCCCCTAAATCTGTCCACACCAATATAAACAGCCCCTTTAATAATGACTTCGAGTTTAGTGCTAGTACTCATTGTAAAAACCTTACCTGGAAAACTCAGCAGGTTAAAATGCACCGCACAAGAGGTAATGTGACATGACTATTCAGACGATGAAAGAACCGTAATTAGAACTCAGTGCCTCGGGAAGGGGCAGCACACACTGAGTTCCCAAAGGACAAGTGGGCAGCAATGAACTGTGTAAGACGTAACCATGTATTTCTACGACATAGCGAATAATCTGAAAAACTGTATTTGACCTGGGAAACTATTTTATTTATCAACGCAGAGGATATACATAAAATTGAGGACACAACTGAATATTGTAGGTCCCTACATCCACCTACAGGATTGTGGGAAGTTTCACAGTCAGCACAGCCCACAGAGGAAGAAGCAAGGTGAGACAGGTGAAGGAACACCAGTGTGTTGCCTTTCGTGACTTCAGGCTGGGGGAGGGGCCGAGCCAGCACTCCAGAGTCTACCTGCCCCCGCCCGCTGCACCTCCACACTGTACCACAGTGATGGCAGGCGCATCTCCCCATTCTATTTCTCAGTGCATCATCAGCCTAGGAAGGCCTGGCCACGGCCTTCTGCACACCATCATGAAATTTCTGAACACTGTGCAAGAAAAGGAACCTAAAATCTTCCAGAGAGAAAAAAACCCATCACATTAAAAGCATCAGGAATCATAATGTCGCTTGCATTTTCAACAGCAACAACAGAAGGTAGAAAACAATCAATATATTGGTAATTTCCTCATTTCAATTAGTTCCACCCTAGAATCCTAGCTAAGCTAACAACTAGGTGGGTACTTAGAATAAAGACATTTTCAGACATTCAAGTTCTCAACAAATTTACCTCTCATGTGCCCTTCTCCGAAAGCTACTGCAGGGTATGTTCCGTTAAAACCGGGAAGGAAACCAAAGAGAAAAAAGATGCGGGATCTAGCACATGGAAGAGGTGAGGGGAGTCCTCCTAACGACAGAGAAGACCCCAGAATGACGCTGTGAGCCAAACCGGAGAGCGACCGTGCAGGGGAGAACCGCTAACCGCGGAAGGCGTCATGAAAGGTGCTGCCAGGACAAAGAGCGAGCGCAGGGAGAGGCTGACAGGTCATCTAGTGCACCTCAATCTCTAAAATGAGTGTTACGGCTCCATGGAGGCTGAATTAGTGATCCAACAATAACCGGGTCACAAAAGGCAATCACTATTACCCTAAGAAAAAGTTACAAGTGAAAATTTAATCACAAGGTAGTAAAATGGGTCAACTGTGAATATTTAAATAGTCAATGTAAATGGTGAAGATTAAATTAACCAGATATTTTGATATGATTATATTGGAAAGATGGGGAAGGGGAAGTTCTTGTGAGGGCTACGGTGTTGGGGTTGGAGGGAGGGCTATGAGAGAGCTAAACCTTCATCCTCTGGGTAGAATAAGTGGATAAAGTCTAGAATTAAAAAATAAAATCCTGTAAAATGATATGCGCATGTTACTTGCTGAAGAAATAGGTGAAGCAGTTGAAAGTGGTTGCCTCTGATGAGCAGAAACCAAAGAGGGGATAAGCAGGGCAAGGCTTCTTTTTCATGTTAAGTCCTACAGTTCTAGTATATTTTTTTAACTATGGCAGCTCTGCTCTTAATAAGAAAGGAGAAAGGTCAAGAGATTAGGCTCTTGATGGGAGAGGACATTTGATTTCAACACTGAAGAAGTGGAGAAGAAAAATCCCACAATATGACCATAATGGTGTATGGATGATGTGGAATAGACCAAACATCAACTTCACTGATCCTTAAATTTCAATACCATCCATCACTCTTCTGTGTTGCAACTTGAAGACCACAGTTTTGCTTAATTTTTTCCCTCATACACAAGTTGTACCTTATAGACAAATAAAAGCTTTAATTTGAAAACTATTCCTAAGGAAGATGTTATTATCTTCTTGCCATTTCTACTCTTAAAGATATAAAGGTGCATCAACAAAGCTAAAGTCCTTGAAGAAAAGCTCACAGTAGGAGGAAGATGACAGGACATGTCCCTAAGGCAAAGGACTGAGAAGCATTCTATATATCAGCATGATCAACAAAGGCCCTGGATTGGGAAGCAGTTTACAGCTATTGTCAAAACACATGAGTGATACCAGTAAGCCATAAGAATAAATTTCCATGACAACAGAATAATGATCCCAGATCTTCATTCCAGGGAGGGAGCCAAGCCCATTCCACACGGACAGGGCATATGTTAAGGGCTGGAATCCTTTTCAGGCTTTGAAAATAACCTTGCCTGTCATGGGTATCATTATTCACCCTCCCATTCGGCATCAATGCGCCTTCTCTTTGCCAAGCATTCCAAACACCACTCCTTCCTGTGCCAGGGTCAGACACGGAGTTGGTGATGCTGTCTCCCTCTGTGAAAACAGAACTGCCTCACATGGAAAAAAAATGCGCCCATGGAAAAATCTGGACTGCACTAGATGCCTTAAAGACCCATCAAATTTCTTCTCCCATTGCCAAAATAATTTCCTACAGGCCTCGTTTTACATTCGGGATAATCCGAAGAATGCTTCCAGAAGGTAAACAAACACTTGTCTTAGTCGTGACTGCATGCCGGGCACAGTGGTAGTTACTAAAGGGACAGATAAAAAAATACGTACCAGGAGGTTGCAATCCAATGACAGACCCAGAAACACATGATTAATAAGAGAACACAGCAGTGATCTGAGACACGGACAGAGGGCTGTGGGGACTGGCACCCAGGAGGCAATGGGGCTAAATCCTATGGAACATACAAATTCAGTAAGGTTTTCACACCTAGTGTAACAGACTCCCACGGAGAGAAGCACATTTTTCCTTCCCTGCAAGGATTTAGGCCACGGCTAAATTACCATCTGTCAGACAGGCTGTAGATGGCGACTCCCCCCAAGTGAGAGGTTGGATTAAGTGTCCTTTAACGTCCCTTCCAACTCTAGAATTGTATAATTCTATGAGATCAGCAAATGCTAAACCAGTAATAGGAAGCTTCAAAGAGGAAGGGAAACTTGAACGAAGTCCAAAATGATAGCTAGGATCTCAGTAAACAAAAGACAGAGGATAAGATATTTTATTGCATTCCTTTTCATCACACGTATGTCAGCTCAGTCTGCAAAACAGCTTAATGGGGTTAATAATTAGAACAAACAGTGCAAATTCTGTACCTACTAGACTACTGGGAAATACAGTCAGAATTCTGTATTTTACTAGAAAATAATGACGCCATTCTTTTCTGAATCACATATTTAAGAAAATCATGTTCACAAAACATTAACAATGTTATTTAAAATACTAACAGGCCTACTGCATTAAACTCCCAGTAATTATGCAAATACACTAATGAAATATAGAGCATGCCAAAAGATCTGGCATGGGCTTACACTGTTATTTGATAAGGAACTCACAACAGTCAGGCCCTGAAACTGACATAATTTGGCTACGTTCCTCATCAGCTTTAAACAGCAGTGCAATTTTCCACTTAAAGCAATTCTCTTCCCTGCTCTGTCCCCCTTGCCACCCCATCACTTGTGCTCATTTTCCTCACTCAAGGCATCTTCATTTTACAACACCAAAGCAGCCTCAGTTGGCCAAGAATACATTTAAAAGCCAAGAACTGAAATGTCTTTTAAAAGTTCCCCAATATTCACACTAATACACTCTATAGGCAACATGCTATATCCAGCAAGTTATTAAATGCATCAAAAAGTAAACTCGGCTGATATTCCAGTACCCTCAACACAGGCACATGCCACGTAACAACATTTGAGTCAACAACTAACTGCATACACCACAGTGGTCCCCTAAGATTATAATGCAGCTGGAAAACTCCTACTGCCTAGTGACACCTAGCGCACTGCATTACTCAGGTGGTGGCAGTGGTGTAAACAAAGCTACTGTGCTGCCAGTCGTATAAAAGTACAATTATGCACGGTATGTAATACCTGATTACGATAACAAATAATGACGACACTGGCTTATGTTTTTACTATAGCACACTTTTTATCATTATTTTACAGTACCTCCTTTCTATCTATAAATGTTTGCTGTAAATCAATCAGTGTGCCGTTGTTGGGAACCCCCCATGGCTAAGGCTGAGTGAAGAGACCTTGGGACCCTAAGCCACTAAGGAGACAAAGCTTATCTCCCTGGCAGGGGCACCGCCTCTGCCCCCTTTACTTCACCCTGCCTGGCCCCCAGTGGATGACCGGTTAGCCAATGACGGGTAAGATTCCTCAAAGGAGGGAGGACCTAAGACAGGCATGGTCATGAGGGGGTCATCGGGGAAGAATTTGGGGGACTACAGAAAAAAGGGGTGATGGAGCCTCGCCCCTCAGCTTTGACACAGCCTGAGTCTTCATTCTGTCTGCAAGAAGCCTCCTAATCTCTTGGCTGCCTTACTTCCCCTGCCTGACTTAAGCCTAAAGCAATGCCACAGGTGGGGACGGCCCTGTGCTGGAAAGGACAGCTTCTCTGGGGCGATCAGGCCTAAGAAAGAATGCATAAAATCCTGTGAAACCTGTTTTGCTGACACCCTCAATTTAAATGATAGGAGTCCAATAGGAAATGAGTTTGTTTCCCCAAAGTTTTATGGCCCTTTAGCTATCTGACCCTGACTCAGAATAAGCCCTCATAGTTCTTTAAATGATTGTCTGATCATTACTGCCTGACAATGATTGATGAGCTTTACTTATATGCCCTGTATTCCTATGCAAATGAACCCAATAAAAGCCCATTGAGGAAAAGGCTCCTGGCCCTTCTCTTTTGAGACACTGGCCACCTTTCCTCCCCAAGCAGATCACTTCTTGGTAGACTTATTCTCATCCTCACACGTGGTGGGTGGGGGAGGTGGGGCCTGTGGGCGGAGCCCCCCATGCCATGTTTTACCTTGTATGTCTCCTATTTATTGTGTGTCTTGATTGCCTCACATTCTCTTGCACTTGATTTAATCTTGTGTTGTTTTGTAAACGTGCTATATAGGCTTGTAGCCTAGGAGTAACAAATAGGCTACCCTACGCAGCCTAGGTGTGCAGCCGACTACACCACCTAGGTTTGTGTGAGTGTGCTCTACAATGTTCACACGACAAGGAAATCACTAAAAACACATTTCTGAGAACATACCCCCATCGCTAAGCAGCACATGATTGCACGCAGCCCGGCAAAAATAACGCCCCTCTTTTATTACGTAAAAATTTTTTATCACAAAATCATCAGCATGTGATTCTGTAATATAACAATACCACACTCAAGCACACCACATGACATTTTAGGTGAAATGTTCAAATTGTTGTCCATCTCGTGCGAGACATTCATGTCTCTACCGACCCTACCGACCACACTCAATGGCGTTACTTCTGCCGTACCCTGTATATTAAACCAAAGGCTAGGATTCTCACTGAGTGTTCTTGGCATATCAAAATTGGGTTATTTAAGATGGGAAAGAAAATGCTGGTCATTGATGCTCATACACAGGTGATAAAAATTTAGCTAAATGTAAAAAAGCGAGTGTGTGCTAGGGAAGGATCGGAGGAATGTACTAGAAAATGGACCATGGCAAGTAATAGAGGGCCAGCCCAACTGCTGCAAGCCTGGAAGTAAGAGGCAACTCATGAGTTTTGGTTTATCAGAAATGCTCCTTTTTAGCCCTGGCTGGTGCAGCTCAGTGGATTGAGTGCAGGCTGCGAACCAAAGTGTTACAGGTTCGATTCCCAGTCAGGGCACATGCCTGGGTTGCAGGCCACAGCCCCCAGCAACTGCACATTGATGTTTCTCTCTCTCTTTCTCCCTCCCTTCCCTCTCTAAAAATAAATAAATAAAATCTTTTTTAAAAATGCTCCTTTTTAGTCCATTATCAGAATCAGTAACTGAGAAATGACTGGTTAGATTTCTAACTTACCTCTTTTTCCGAGAGGTTCAGAGTGAGCAAGTGCAAGGTCCTGGTGTGGGATGACTTCCAGTCCACAGGCATTACATTTCCGTAATTATCTGTCAGGGCATTCCAAATCCTTCACGAGAAGAAAACTGCAGTCAATGAAAGTTAACGTTCTATCTCTCTTCTACTCAATAAATACCCAGTACTGTAGTGAAAGAAAAACAAAAATATCAAAGAAAAAAAAAACATCAACAAAGTAGAGCCCCCTAAAGAAGACTAAATGAAAATCATAGAATTAGGCCGCCAAGAAGCCCTGTGGGAAGGTGAAGTGAAATGGGAAACTCTTCCAGGTCAACAACTGGCCCTTTCCACTGGTACAATGGGCCTACCCTAAACAATTTATATATTAACTCATTTAACTCTCAAAAACATATTATGAAGAAGCATTACTATTCTCACTTTACACACAAGGAAACTGAAGCACAGGGAAGTCAAGTCTTGTTTCCAGAGCCAACCCAGTAGTAAATGATACACTGTGCTTTACACTTAATTTTCTTCTACAAGTCCCAACACCTAGACCATCTCACAGAGTAAATCATCTGACTAAAGGTTTGTTATCCTTTTGGGAAAAATGACTCAGTTGTAATGTGAGATTAACGTTTAACATCTAATTTGTAACATAACAGATTAAGGACTGAAACTGACAAAATGAAAGGGGAAAGAAGGAAGTTCACATTATAATGCACGCAAGTTGCATCCAATGCAATTACGCCACCTTATTATCAAACAACATTTTGATGAAGCAACAGAGCACATGACTAAAATTCAGGCAACATACACTCTGGTCTTCATTCTTCCTCAAACAATGAGTCTGTGGTCATGTCTTTTAGTCCCTCTGTGTGTTAGCCTCCCTTCTATAAAATGAGAGGCTGGGACAAGAAAAACAGACCATCCCTCCCAGATCTATTATTCTAAGCATTAATTTCAATGAGTTGAACTGAGGAAAGCCCCAAAGCACACCAGATAAGAACAGCAAACTCCAATTTCATGACCAAAATGCAGGTTTAGGTACCAAGGTAATAACCAGCCTAATAAAATACAACAATGTATGTAAAAAAATTGAACTCAAAGATATAAAAGGCATAAAATTTAGTTGAAGTAAAGTTAAAGACTGCACATATAGGCTACTTAATAGCTAGAGGTACCCACACACGTCATAAAGAAAAAACACCATAAATTTTATAATAGGTATCTAATTGTGAATAAGCCATTACATAATTAGGTGGTGTTTATGCTCAAGTATGTGAGCCATTAGGATACAAAAGCAAGACCACCAGCTTCAAAATAAAGCAGCAACATACTTGGTTTAATGCATTGGGATATGTTGCTAAAGAGATGAAGCAATGGGACCATACTGCCAAGAACACAAAATCCCATCATGATGCTTGGCTTTGGAACACACACTAGCCTCAGTGAAAATGCAAAACCAAAGGCTCTAGAAAACTGGCTTGTTTACCCAGCAACTCTCCCATATGCTTGGTGCATTCCTATTCCCCTCTCTGTTGGTATCATAATTTCCTCTAATGCCAACATGCTCAAATTGGAGGCAACCCTTCTGAGCTGTTAAATGCGCTGGGTTTAAGGCCCATACATTCCTAGGTAAAACATTTTCAAATACTGAATCACTGACTACATATCCAATCCTAGTGGGGAATTCAAGTAGGAAATTGTAGTAGGTGAAGGCAGTCCAGAGTTTTGGGGACTGCTTGTTTGCCCTTTCTTATATGAGGCTGTGATAAAAGGACAAGCTGAGTGGAATACTCCACCTAGAAAAAGTAACTGAGACTGAATGTGATCTTTCAAGAAAGAGAAGGATAATCAACAGTCCTCTATCTCAACAAGGTCAGAAGAGTTCTAGAATTCTCCAGTTAAGACTTGGATTGCCTTTATCCTTATCATAAAGTATGACAAGCAGTCATAAATAACTGGCAAGGCAGCTCTTTTCAGAGGTCAAAGTCCCTTCAACATTAAATCCTACACGAGACCCTTCTAAAGTAAAAACTTAGCAGATAAGTACAAGCTCTGTATTTAACCAAAACTAAAACTGGAGCTCAGAGAACTTAAATAAAGTGCCCAAAGGCAAGGCAGTATCCAAGTGAAAGAATTCTCAGCTCTCTCTGGTGAAAGGAGCAAGAAATGGACTTGAACGAGCAATGCAGAGATTTATGCAGTAGAACGAGGATAATGAGGGTGGTGGCCAGCCCCAGCCCTGGAAAAGACTGAAGTTTCTTATGCATTCCCGAATCAAGTCACACATGTTACCAACATATCTTCTACTGAAAACCATGACCAGGAGTAACAAAAATTTTAAGTTCTTATATCAACTTAAGATTTAAGCAAAGGCTAAAATACACTTTCCCGACAGCGCAGGTGAAGCAAAAATAAGGAATTTCAATTACCTGTGTACAAACTACCAAACTGCTTTGAGAAGTTACTCTTGATAAACCCAAACTCATAATAAATATAATTTTAAAATTCAGAATATGTCCCGAGTCTAGTGATTCAGAGTGTATAAATACGCATGAGATGAATGTGTGTATACACACACACACTACTATCTTCTTTTGGAAACAGAATTTCTAAAATGTCACATAATGCCACCGAGTACATGCATATCTGTGTGTATAAAATCCCCACATAAATTCTTCCCTCTACACCTGAACACTGCACAGGGGTACCAATTAAAAGACATAGGCTCCAAGCACAGCTGAGCTCAAACTACTGCTAAGACACTTACTGGCCCTCATTCCCAACTCCCTCTTCTCAAGCTTCCTACCTTACTCCTAATAAATCTGCCTCACAGAGGGAAGGAGACCATCAAGCTAGAAGCCCCTTTCTATGCCCATGGATCTTTCTCTGTCTCATGGGATGAGTTTTTCCCTAAACTCTTAACTTCTCCATCCTACCAATGTTCTGACAACCCATCCACACCCATGTCCTCAGTATTTATTCCATTAATTTCACCCTCAGCCTCTCGAGGGGAGCCTCCCCCTGACATTACAACATGCTTAAGTTATTTCACTGTCATGGAATAACATGACAGTGAAATAACTTAATTGGTTTTTTTTGGGGGGGGCACCTCCCCCTGACATTACAACATGCTTAAGTTATTTCACTGTCATGTTGGGGTTTTTTTTAAACCACCTTTTGGGGTAATACTGTGGTACAAAATCACAACCCTTATCTAACCAAATTATGATTACAATTCAAAGTGCTTAAATAAAGTGCCCCCAGGAACTCCATCGCCCCCTTTCCCCAACTCTCATAAAGCCCGGTAAATTTCCTATCATTGCACTTAAATAATTCTGTAATAATTACCTGTTTATGCATTGGTCTCCCTACCAGGCTAGGAGATTCCAGCTATTAATAACCAGGGTTCTTAGTTTTTTGCCTCTGTAGAGGCCTGCGCTGTACTTCGGCTCTCAGGTGGACCCAATAAATTCCTGTGCCACAGAATGCTGCTTCAACATTGGTACCTCTGCACGTGCTACATCCTCGAACTAGAATGCTAAACCTTTCTGCACCTGCCCAGCAAACTCCCACTCACCATTGGGATCCAGTTTTCACACTTCTTTCTCTATCAAGTCTTTCCTGATTCTCCCCCCTCTCCATCCCACCCATACTTTTAAATCTCCTAAATTTTACATATCTATCCATCAGGGCATTTGTCACACCCAGACAAATATTTGTTTACAAATCTAGCTCCCACCCTAGGTTGCGCCCTTCTTGCAAGGGTCAGTCATCCTAGCGTTCCCAGTGCGAAGCAGCCTCTGGCACTTAACGGACACTTAATAACTTGTTAAAAGAATGAACGGCTACACCTGTGCCCGAGGACGTACTGCCTCTGACTACCGGCTCTACAAGGAGATTCCTCGTAAATCAAACCACAGTCGTCTCAAGGCAGGAGAAAAAGGGGGCAGGGGCGGAGGTTTAAGGATGGGGAGCAAGGGAGCAGGAGGTTTAAATCGCTCAGCACGCCGAGGTCTAAAGCCCCAGGGAGGGAGGCGCTCCAGCAGGGAGGGGCGGGGACTCTCGGGCCGAGGCAGACGGAAGGAGGGCGCGGGGCGGGGCCTGCAGACGGAGGGCGGACGGGGCGAGGGGCAGGGGGAGACTCCCGCCCGCTCCCGGCCAGGCCCGCACTCACTCGTCCCCCTGGAGCAGGCTGCCCTCGGTGATGGGCCGCACGACCGCTCTCGGGGGCTCGGCGCCCAGACCCGAGGGGCGGAAACAGAGGCTCAGCTTCTCCTCCAAGCTGCGGGCCAGCGCCGCAAAGCCGTCGCCTGCCCCTCCGGGCCCTGCCCCGGCCTCAGGGCTCGCGTTACAGTTCTCCTGGTCGTGGAGGGTCCCGGACGGCTCCTGGAACTCATAGAAATCCTGCCAGTCCCCGTCCGCCGCCATCGCCGCCCGCTGCAGTCGCGCGCCCCGCCCCGCTCCGTCCTCGGGCCCCGCCCTCGGAGCCCTGCCCGGGCCGAGGCCCCGCCCCTCCCGGCGCGGGCGGCTTTGGTCTGTCCTGAGCGGATCAGCCTAGGTGTACCCCTTTTCTGAGTCTCCACGGGATCTTCCAAGGGTCCCCTCAGAAAGGAAAACTTCGACTGCATTGAGTCATTTCCTATAGTGTCTATGATTCCGCAGTAGCTTCCCCTCTTAGCTTTTTTTTAGTGGGAACCTGGCCTAGATGTGGCTGGAACAAAGGGCTTCTTTAAACTTTTGACCTAACGTCAGATTATTCTCGAAGTCACTTTCCCAGGGCAACCTGCTCCTTTTGCAACTTTCCAACCAGAATAGCAGCCAGAGTCAGTTGGAAATGCTTAAGTGATACCGAAATTCATTCCATAAATACCTAAGGTCTCCCTCTGGAGCATACAAAAAATGAATAATTATGTAAGTTAATATTTGCAAAGCAGAGCAGTGCCTGACAGTAAGTACCCTATCTATATAAGTAATACATAGCTGTTCCTTACAAGGGGCTACGATGTAGTTGTAGTGATAAGACCAAAGGAAACCGTTTATACGAAATAAAAAGTAGGTATGATTAGGAGTAGAGAGTTACTGATGATTAACGAGTATACAGTTTCAGTTTTGCAAGATGGAAACAGTTCTGGAGAGAGATGGTGGTGATGGTTGCACAAGAATATGAATGTATTTCAACAACATCAAAAAAGAAACTAGATATTGGTCTCTAGTATTGATAATATTGGTCTCATCAGTATCACCAGAACATACCAAAATACATAAAATGTTAAATATGAAAAAATATGAATGTACTTAATACCCCTGAGCTGTATACTTGAAATGGTTTAAGATGGTAATTTTATGGGATGTGTATTTTACCATAATAAAGCAACGGTGGGAAAAGTAAGTGTGATCATAAGGCCGTGTGAATGTGTAAAAGCAACAATACCTAGGACTGCTACCGGACAAGGGTCTGCTGCCCGAGCACATAGTATCCAATACCATGGTGCTGACTTTTGAGAAAACAAAGGGGCTTCATTTGCCAGTCTATGGACAAGGAGACAGGAGGTAACGCTGAATCTGTCTTCCTGATCCAGGATTCAGGGTGGGGCTTTGAGGGGCAACACTTTTAAGGTACACAAGAGTTACTTGTGGGTGGTGTATCCAAAGCTTAAACTTTGTTTCTGGGTCTTGTTAAACAGGATAGTTTGAACTGATCTACAGTTAGAGTTGGTAGGAGTTATGTCTTTGGGCTGTAGTCATACTCATATGCTTCATTTAGGAAATGGGATGTTTTTGGGTCATGAAGGATGAGTTTGTATTTTGAAAAATTAATCTGAAGTTAATAATAGAGAATAAGATTTTTCCCAGAATGCTTTGTTCATGTCTTGGAAACCTATCCTCAAGAATACCTATTAATACTAAAATTTCCTATTTACTATTGTCAATGATTCATTCCATGTTAAACAAAATATATCTGTGACTGAGCCTAAGAAACTGTTGATGATTTCTTTAAAGGCAATATTGTTGAAGGGAGCAGATGTTGGGCTCCACTTGGCACGGAGTTGCCATGTGCGGTGATGTATAACAAGGCATTGGGTTGGCCAAAAAGTTCATTTTGGGTTTTTTTGTATGATATTCCAGTACTGCTTCATTGCCTTTAACTTCATTAGAAACAATTTTGTTAGATTCTGTTGTGACGGCTGTCATATCAGTGTGCATTTAAAAAAAACTTACCAAAATTGGTAAATTTTTGTGTAGCCATTTTAATATTGAAGATGGCAGAAAATATGCAACATCTTGAGCATTTTATGCTGATTATTTCAAGAAAGGTAAAAACACAACTGAAATACAAAAAAAAAAAGATTTGTGCAGCATATGGAGAAGGTGCTGTAATTGATTGAATGTGTAAAAAGTGGTTTGCAAAGTTTCTTGGTACTGTTGACATTTTGGCCAAATAATTCTTTGCTGTGAGGCTGTCTTATGCATTGGGAAATGTTTAGCAGCACTCCTGGCCTCTACCCACTAGAAGCCAATAGTGGGAGATAGCCTACATACTCAAAATATCCAAATCAATGAAGTTATTGGTGAAAATGAAAAATGTGTCTTTTATTATATAAGAAAAAAGTAACGGACTTTTTGCCCAACCCAATGCTTGTAAAGCTCTAGCATCAGAACAGAGTGTTGGTCAAGCTGCACTCACACCCTGGTCCCGACTTCCCTGGAGAAGCATTTCTGTTGTCATCTTCAGTCTCTCCAAGAAGCTGCTGCCGCTTTCCCAGCTCTCGGTTTGTCAGCACAGCATTCTCTGTTTGAGAAGTTCTCAGAATAGCTACCTCCTCCCTTGGTTGTCTGACCAGAGAAATGAACCTCTTGTTACTCCCCAGTGTTTTTCTGCCCTGGGTGCTCCCCTAACACACCCAAACATGCCTTCTCCACCCCCGATTTTTCATCTGAAAAGCAATTCTTACTCTGAAACAGAGAACCTAACTATAGACATTAAATTCTCTAGAAAACAATGTCTTGAGTCCTAAAGTAGCAACTGCTGGTGATGTTTTTTTTTTCTTTTTACTGTTAAACTTGGAACTATGTTGGCTTTTGGAGAAATGTCATAAATTACTATTTTGCTGAGATTTAAAAAAAAACACCAAATCTTTGGTCCCATCATAAAATGGTGATGGATGAGGGATATCAACTACTGAAAACCACAGGAGACGAAAGACACCAGTCCTGCAGGATAAAGGAAGCTGGAGAGAAAGTGCAGTTCAGGTGAAGGTGACAAGGTTGCCTTACACTCTGAGGTGCCATGATTTGGGTTGGCACATGCATCCGTCATTCCTGCCTCAAAGCTTAGGGCTTTGGTATTTGACAAGTAAGGGCACTTTCTCCTTTGCTGAACACTTGGTTTGATGCCAACAATATCATTTTTATTTGTCAAGATATTTTTTAATTATTTGTTTTCTCTACTTTGGTATTCAAGTTAGCTTTGTCACAAGCCTCAACTATCCAGCCCTGTGAACACAATTTATTGAAAATGTTGATAGGGAAAAAATAAGTCAGAATTTTCTAAAGCCTCTAACTCCTGATAAGATTTCACTCCTTCATGCAATAATAACTTTCACTAATGGAATTAAAAACAGCCAAAATTTAAGAAGCAACAGAAACCATTTCCTGTCATTAGCACCAGAGAAATGTTGTAGGTTACAGAGAACTGAAAAGCTCTCTCCAATTCTCCCAGTAAAATGAGTAGAGAAACAATAGCACGTGGAAAGATTCTTGCATCTGAACAAAGGAGAGACTGTGATAAGCCTCTATGATTATGAGCAGTGTCCTAGCTATGAGTAGTTTATAAAAAGGAATGTGTTTCTGTGAATTGTTTTGAAGATCAATTTGTTTCTAATTTTGTTCTACATCTAAAAGTGATATTAAAATAGTCTCCTATAAGCAAAGGGCAACATAAGCTAAAGACTTGCCTTTTAATACTCCCTGAAGCAGCCATTGATTTTACGTGTATTTAATAATAAATGTTAAGTGACCCTGGAAGCAGAGACTCGTTCCCTGTGTAAAAATAAGATAAACAATATCCAGTGCTTTGAAATTAAATTCTTTAATCAGAGATGTGCTAAAAGGAAACATGTCTGAAGGGTAAAGAAGGATGCTCAAATTAGTAACTTCTTCAACACACTTATTTGCAAATAATGATGGTTAATTGCATCAAATTATTTCTGAAAAAAATAATTAAAAACTTACTTGTAACATAAAATAATGTTTTCATTTATACCCTTGGAATTTTTAATTAGGCTTTGAAGTTCTTTGAATCACAGAAAGTCCTCTTATGGTTGGTAATTGTATTATCATATTGCTTGTTTTGACAATTGGCAAATAACGGGTTTTAAAGTAAATTATGGGTAAGCACACCACGAGAGGCTGTGTGTGATTTAAAGCTATGCATTCACTCATTCAGCTCTATAGCCTTCAAACAGTATTCCTTACCCTAGCTCCCTACCTCTGTACCTTATTCATCCCCTTCCTTCACATTTTTCTATGCTATTTGTAGCATTATTTATCTATAATTATTTTAACTACTTTCTCACCTCTCTCTCCATTCTTTCATTCTCCTGATTTGTTCCCATTGACTTTCTCCACCCTACAAAATCATGAGCTTGGATTCAAGCCATACCTGTATTTAGAACAGCCTTTTCCCAATTACTCCAATATTGTCACTGTCATTCAGAAAGACATTTGGAACTCTCCTATACAAATAGTCTTTTCCAGCTAATCCAAGCCTGATCCCCAAGGATAAGTACACCACCCATGATCCCCCGGCTTCATCTTACTGTCATTTCCAGTGATGGGGCTGAACAGGGCCTAGCCCACCAATGCTAACAGGATGGATGCACCGCGAGAGTGCAGGGCTCCATCATACCTCGTGTGTGCTGCAGTGGCAGCTCTGAGCTGCTGCTGCCCATTCTGATGAGGAGAGGCCCTGCTTTTGCCAAGTCCCAGGCCCTTCATTCGAGAACCATGGCCTCTCGCTCCGCACAGCCCACGGTGTGTGGCAGTCCACAGTCTGCTAAGAGGACAAAGTGGTATCTGTGGGGAGGTGAGGAGAAATGCCTCTCAGTCTTACGTTCCATGTCTATTACACTCTGGTGTCTTAGTTAATCATTAAAAATCTTTGGTTTTTCCGATCCTTAGACATAGGCATTCATAGACATGACTCTATGGAGCTGGGTCTGGAGTACATTTGAATTATAGGTAGGTCATGGCCCTCAGAAACAAGCCTTCCCTATCACTCTGGGATTTGTTCTGGCTCTGTCTGTTCTTAGGACGGAGTCTATTCAAGGAGACACCTCAGAACATCATGCAGACGGCATCCTGTTGATGCCAGTTGACCAGACTTGCTGGAATCCCAGCTTAGGCTCAGACTTAGTGAGCTTGAACCACGTGTCCTGCTGGTGAAATTGCTCTCTGCAT